TTAGGAATATTTTGCACAGCGTGACACAGAATTTTGCGAGATTTGCTTTATTTTCACCTCAAACATAGATAATTAAATCATTGGACAGATGAACAATATTAGCGTAACATAATCATTAAAAATTATATAAAACAAGTTAACGTATAAAGCTAATTCCGAAAATGTTGCCACTTCGAGGACACCAACCTGAAGTATAAAAGAAAAGAAGAATGCCCTGCTTAGGAATTTATACATGCATCCTTCAAAGACTGGTTTTACGACTGCAAGAATTAGCCCTTTGTTAGCTCACGCTGATAGAGCACTTTGTTGGCGCGCATTAGTGTGTAGGGCTCATAGGATAGATTACTAGACAATGAACAGATATGAAATTCTATGCAATGATAGCGTCCTACTTATACAGAGAAGAATTGGGATGATGTTTAACTTTAGTCACACGATTTATCTTGATGCATACAGATTACTACATCATTACACATTTATTCATGTTTCTATGTATTTCTTTATCACTTTTTCGAACTTTCTCGCGTTCATTTGCGACAGAACCTTTGGTACTTGTAATGTTTATTTACTGTAAGTTTCTCATGAAAAGTTAATTGGTGTTTAATCTCTGAGTATTTGATTTGTACATACATCACTGGATATATAACAGACAGGGGAAATAAAATACTCATAATAAGAAGTGAATAAAATATTGTCAACACTATAATTTGGACAGTGTGATCTATAATTGAATGAAACAACATAGAATTGAAATATTTGCGAAATCACCATATTGGTAGGACGAATCTACTCTGCAATCGATTTTACCGTATGAAAAATACGGGTCATTCAACAAATAAAATTTTGCAAACAACTGTATGCTTATAATAGCATATGTTCTTTCTTCTGTACCGATTCTGTGGGAGCGAGTTCGTCTACTGTTATTGTTTTTTATAGTCGCTGGTAACTTAGAATTTCTTATAAACAGTCAACAATTTCTTATTGGACAGTAATTGTAAACACCGTAGTTTCAGTTGAAGTCGGGGTATGAAGTCAAGAATATTACGACCCCGACACTTGTCAAACTTCTTTGTCACGATATTGATTACACTGCAGGTTAGTGCTCTTGAAAGACTAACTCCATGATGTTAGTTAGACTTTTTGAGTCTGATCTTTTCCTTGAGGCATACTGTTATAGCTCTTTCAGCGTGCCGCAGAGAAATGTTAATGACGAAAGTTGAATGGTTAAAAATGTAAGTACTGGAAATGTCTGCATCAGTTCATGCATGCCTTAAAGGTGCAGTTAAGGTAATGCAAAGAGTCTTCTGCTCCAATTCCATGCAAGGATCAGACCCAAAGCAAATAAGTGATTAATTTGTAGCTTACACAGGTGAAAACACTTCAGTATTATAAGTCTTTCACAAGGGAAATATTCCACACGAATTCATTTACATGACAATTAACAGCTGCCAATAATATGTGCGCATTATCCATCTTCACTTACATTGTTAATTATTATATTTCTTTTGCTGTATTTTAGCAGACACCTTTTCTCTTTGGTAGGCTCAGTGTCTGATTTCGTAGAGATGTTTTTTTTTTCCTCAGTCCTAGGCTTCTATTGGTGCAGCGCTTCGCGGCTAACAATTTTGTATATTTAATTCAATTGTTTTCGAATTTCTTTTATGAACAGCATGAGGAGGTTGGTCATGTCTTCTTTCTATTTATTACTATAGAAATTACGAATCATTATCAGACCATATTATTATTGTATCATTATCATATCATTATTGTCGTTGAATTTTACTATTTACTCTCTTTTTGTCCTTTTTTGAATGATTTTTTTCTTTTGCTTCAATAAATTTGAATTCTTTCTTTTCGAATTGTGACTTTATTTAGTTCAAGATAGTGAATGCTATTTTTTGCGACAAAAACTTTTCGACAAGATACGCGGAGAAGTACAGACTTTGTGATTCCAACAAAAGTCGCTAAAAAGGATTAATTGACAAAATCATGATGTCTCTTGCATTTTAAAATTCGTTGTCGGTGATACAGGCTTACTTCGGCTGTAACACTGTACTAACACAATAATATTACCAATTAACAACATTGATAAGGGTAAAACACACAATAAACTGGTAAGTAGTGAATAAATGAGCTATACAATAAACAAGCAATATGATCAACTTTAACTAGCATATTCCTTATCGTCAACTTCGGTAAAGGTTGATTGTCGCTTTGTTAACAGGTTCAGTAGTAGATGAGATAAAAGGGCATCCTTCGTTGGAGATATGCTGCAGAAAATGTGCCAAATTATAAAGGAGGGAAGGAATAGTGTAGCTAATGATCGCAGTAGTGGCGGACAAGTGCAATGAACGGTGTTATGCGTATCTGATTGTCTGACTGTATGGACTTATATGTATATATATATATATATATATATATAGAATTAGTGGAGCTTTGGTAAGCTTTGGTACCAGACTTTCCTCTGGGGGCTTTGGTACCACAATTTTCTTTAGCTTCATCCCAAAGGGGAAAAAAATGATCCTATTTGTTTTTCTTCTTATTCATCACCTGTTTGTTTTCTTCGTGTCCTTTTCTCAGTGATTACTTTTTTGTCTCAGTAAAATTAAATATTTCATTTCAAGATTCGGTTTTCTTAAGACACTGGATACTGGATGCTATTTTTTTGCAAAAGAAAGTGTGGTAGTACTTCAGAATTTCATTCTGGGAAAACAGTTAATTTCATATTATTTCAATATGTTGATTTCTCAAAAATGAATTTTGGTTCGTTGCTATACAATTATGATCAAGTTAGGGTGCGAACATCGCTTTTTAATCAAAAAATATCCGAGCAATCCATTTAATAGCAGTAGTTTTTTACGAATGAAAATCGGAAAAGCACAAGCAGATTTGTGAACTTTGCCTCATATAATACTAAGAAATTTCGTATAATGGATATTGAAGTGAGGAATATGGCGTTAAATATGGGAATCAATATACAAGATTGCACAGTTGTCTGGACTTCAAGAAGTTCTTCAAAGGAAATGACTGGAGTAAATGACTGAATAAAATTGTTTGTCTCTTATCTTTGTTGCTATTTATTTTTTGCCGGGTTTTTTTTGCACTTATTCGATTCATTTTTAATTTTTTAGAATCATTTCGATGAGTTCTCGGTTGGAATTGTAACAAACTGTTTAATATTTATTTCATCTGAGACTAATGTCTTATGCAATATTTCTCAACGATAACAGTAACGGTAGCCTTCATTATGGAGAAATCAATACTACCGAGAGACCAATATGTGCAGAGAAAGGTTTCTCATGCCGTGAGTTTCGAAAACGAAATCCTCCTTTAAATTATGAATTCCTACACTCACAATCCAACGAATTCTAAAGTAGAAGTTCGGAAAAGATGTGAAAATTTACAAAGATCTCAAAATTTCTTTGGCTCGTTCGAGCCAGTAGTCCTCACAGCTAATGACCCCGCTCCCCTAGCCCAACAAAAAGAGTGCTTTGACAGTTAGTGCAGTTAACTTAGTCATATATTATGGATTAAAATGACCTCAAATTTTTTCTGTATTGCGTTTAAATAATGATAAAAATTGACAAAGTTGATAGAAAACTGACCAGTGATTTTTTCATCGAAAGTCATATAATTTTATCTGTTTAGCCGTCTTATACAATACCATGGCGCTCGTTTCATACTTTACGACAGTTGCTGATTTCACAATTATATCATTTTTGGTTTATTTATCAATTGTGAAAGTGAAAGATGGCCTATTCAAGTATTTTACGCTTAATTTAATGGCAGTCTGCTCTGTGATGACTGTAGCTGATCTTGTGGTAGATGTAATAAACGTTGTAAATCTCTTCGCTAATGTAGGCGAAAGTAAAAAAATCTTGTTAGTTCTGCTTCCCATTAAAAAAGCTTATTGGTGATATCGGAACCATAAATGATTCCGACTAACGTTTATGGAATAACATACAGAAGAATTCTGTGAATTTTCCAGATATCACCGGGTTGTTCAGAATATTCAGCAAAAAAGAAAAATGCCACTATTTATAGGTACCAAATTCGACGCTGGGCAAGGGGATGCCTCAGCTACGGAAATATTTGGTTTCATACCTTAGCATTATATGCAGCTATTATTTGCTACTTGCCTTACGTGACTCCGATTTTCTATGCGAAGAATTTTGTGAATAAGTGAGTTTCTCACTCTATCCTTTGCGAAGTCCATGAACTTTAAATTTTTAAAAGAAGGCTTAGTTTTATCTGCTATTGAGATATATTTGCAGGAGTCAGAAACTTCATTATGTCATTCTTCATATGTCGTTATTTCTATGGAACAGTTGTTTAGATTTAATTAGAGGACACTTCTCAGTTGTTATACCATATCACCTGACACACCTGATATTATTCACCGCCTTGTTCATCGTTGCTGTGATGGTTAAATTTTGCATATTCTTATTAAAAAACGAAAATTAAAAAAGTGCCAGCAGTAAGATTGAATGTTGGTCTTAGTGCTGACATCATTTCTGATTCCAGCATTAAAGCGGAAGGGAATCAGAAATTTGAAATACAAAAAAAGTACAGAAAGGTACAGTTTCACCACGAACTTCATGCATTGTTATCTGGTTTCCAACATAAGCGAGTTCGAATCACAAATTGTCCGAAGGACTTTCGGATCTCCACGACACTTGATTATTTCTGCAGGGATCCATCGAAATTTACAAATACAAACCGCTTGGGGTCAGTGTTACTCGTGCTGGGAAACTACGACGGAAACGACTATTTTCGTTTGTTCTTTATTGCTATGCTACTGAAGTTCTCACCTTCCCCCGTTTTTGTGAGTTTTAAAACCGTTTAATCAAATATTGCAGAGAAATCTAAATTAAAATTGAAAATCAATGTGACGAAATAATTTGCAAAAACTATTATAGTATACTCATTTATATCGGTCATTTGTGATTATGCTGGGTGCGAATATCATCAACTGCGTCGGACTGATTTCTATGGCATTATTCGTCAACTGATTCATATTTTTCATCAGGTAAAATTTCCCCACCTGTTTCACTGCGGTTTCTTCCCGTTCATTGTCTCTTCGAGAATCTCTTTGTTTCATTAAATTCTTAGATTCCATTTTATTCCAGTTGAATTCAACTGCCATTGGTCTAAGCACAATTATTGCCCTTGAACCTTACCGCCACGCAATTCTTTCCATACTCCGAAAACAAAATTCATCGATTACAAGAGTTCAACCATCAAACAGGATGATTGTTGGCGATTCAATAATGTTGCAGTAATGGTCAATAATCTTGCAGTAATAAAAAAGAAAACTGAGTCGTCTTTTTGGTTATCTCATGCATAAATAGGATCGATGCGCTTAATTGATGTTACTGCTGCAGTATTGTGGAATGATGAGAAAAAACGTTAAGTGAATTTTCTGGAGTAAAATAGAATCAGTGGGCCGGTCGAATAATTGCCAGAAAAAGAAAAAATACTGCTTTATTCTCAACAAATATTCTTTAAAAACTTTTAAAACTATGAGTTTTGAAGACTGACAAAGTGAAAATTACATTTTCTTGGAATGTCATGTGAATAAAATTGTTAATGTTAAAAAACTGAAAAAAAATTTATAATACCTTATAATACTCAAAGTATATGCACCACAAATTTGTATTGTAAATATTGTAATATTTAGCTCGTTTTCCGATAAGTGATTCACTGCACAAAAATCAATTGAACTTCCAACGTATTAAATAATGAATCATTTATCCAGTTTCTGTGACACTATGGTAAAGGGCTACCGCTTGATAACCAAGCAACTTGTAATCTTTAGTCCTTAGTGAGCAGCTGGATGACAACCCAACTTATGCATATTGATGGGCATATTGTATCTAATCTGATAACCGTGCTTATATTCAATAGTACATTTCTAGACTTCTGCTAAGCATCGCATTTCTTTGTCTTAGAATTCCTTTGTCAGAATTTTTACGTAGTGTATTGGTTTTGTAATCCACAGCCACTTGTTCTCAATATAAATTAACAAGGTATATATTATTAGAGAACTCATTATTGACTATAGGGAGATATCCATCTATCTCTTTAAAGGAATCTCCACTGCTTAAACCAGATCCAACCATATTTGGCTCTACTTCTGTTTTAGCCTTCAATAATTTATTTTAATCTACTTCTTGGGGAAGTAACAATTGTGTCCCATTTGCGTTAATTTCTACTTAGTTAATAAATACTATATCCCTGGTATTCAGCTGCATCGAGAGGATCAACATATCCTCACCAATCCATTGATAATTCAATCTCAACAAAACAGCTTCTCTTAACTAAACATGGGAAACTAGCTTTCTTTCAATAAAGGAAGCTGTCGCGAATCTCGATTCACGAGACTCAACCATAACTCAAACAAACAAATAAATAATCAAATAAATTTGTTGTTGTAAGTGAATGTTCCAAATGTTGTGAATCATTTAGCAAAATTTGCATCCTTAAATTTATTTTCCGTTTCAATTCCCATGTTTTTCCTTTATGTCTAAGCACATGTCTTTGTTTAGAAATGCCTTTGTTAGCAATTGCTTAAAATATCTAAATTCACATCTTAAACATCTCCTTTGTTTTTGTTCCTCGAAAAAAATTCACATCCTTGTTTCGATCTTTCGATCTCCTAAGATGCTTATGCTGTAATTGAACGTTACAGTTTCCAGTGTAATGATAGCAAAACCACTCCCACTTTTCCGTATATAAGCGGTGTTGAATGAACCAAGGGCTTTTTGGACAATCAGTTCTTCATTATACTCGATCAGTTTGGATTATTCTTTTTATCATTATTACCAGATTGTGTCGTTTTTGTGACCTTACCCTTGACAAGTAAAGAATCAACTCTTGCTTTGTCCACAACGTACGACACAACGCATATCGTCCACATCAAACTTGGTGCAGCTAATACTTCAAGTGACCTCAATTCTTCTCCTCTACAACCACGTGTAAAAAATCCCCTGCTTGTTTCCAACTATTGACTGACCGCAAATTACTTCAACAAGAATCCACGACAGAAGCAAAGTTTTTCGAGTTTTATTTGTTACAAGAGAAGAAAACCAAATTTTCTGCAAACAGGAAGTTTGCATAGCGTGTTACCAGATTTGCCAAATTTCCTTTACGATTACCAGATCTGCCGATTTTCTTTATGAGTAATTAAACGATTAGATAAAAGAAACAATGTTAACAGGAAATTACATAATCACTTGAAATTTAAAAAAAAAGAATAACGCATCAAAACGAGACAGTCGAGACACACAAGATTAATTCCAAAACCACTAATTTGGAGAATAAAGGAAGGTTATACTGCTGTGTGTACAGGATTAACCCCTTTGTTAGTGAATGTTAATCAATCATTCCTTATTAACGTGCATTGGTGTAACGGTATTTGTTAGCGTACAATGCTAAACAATGAACTTATATACGATTCCATGCACAGCGGCAGCATCATACTTAAGCAAAAATCTTAATCATAATACAGCCTGGTAATACAAATTGATTATATCTGGTAAGTACAAATTAGTTATGGATGATGTGTTTTCATGTTTTCCGATTCGAGGCTAATGTGAACCATTGATGATAGTCCATATGTCAATACTTAAATATTGATTTGGGAACTTCCTGTATCTCCTCCTTAGGATCCTTTTTTCGTGGAAGCCGGTGGTGAGCTCACCATAGCACACAATCTTAAGCAGGCGTTGATCCTCCATTTTGGGATGCCAAAGAGTAGCCATACCTCCATGATAACCCCGACGGAGCTTAAAACTCCTCCCTAATCCTTATATATATAAGAAATGGAAGCAATGGCAATTCTAAGGTATAAGACCGATTCGGTAGAATTTGACATTCGGAGAGTTTGAGTAATCTCAGGTCAAGAGCTCGCGAGTTGACTGTTCCAAAAAAAAAAGATGCGATTGCTTAATCGGCTCAAAGAGCTATAGTCAAATTGCCTTAACTACAGTTGCAGAGTTCGGCAAAAACCCTCGAGACCTGGAGACTGGAAAGCATTCTGGAGGGGTTTTGAAGCAGCGGTACACAACCAGGACCTTTCGAGCACCTTGAAGCTCTGCTAATTTTTTGCTTAAGAGATAAAGCATTACAAGCAGTTAGTGGATACGAAATTTAGAGAATTACAATCTTATTCAAGAGATATTGATGGAGAAATATGGTGGTACGTATGCTATCACAAGTTTGTTTTACAACGATCTTTTCTCAGTCAGAAAAAATGGTCGTGAATGGAAAACAACAATCAAAAATATGGAACGATAACTAAGACAACTGCAAGAATTGCGGGAAATCTAGAACATACAAGCTCACAAGTAGTTATCGAAAGGGACTCAAGCATATCTTGATTAAAGTCTATGAACAAAAACTAAACGATAGGCCTTCGTCAATAAACAAATTGAAATAATTTTTAAGAGAGTTAATGAAATTGGGGAAACTCGTAACTCAAAATCAAACCTCTACTAATGAAGTCGAAAGAAAACCAAGAAATACCATAAATCGACAGTTCGAAAAGAATACCATAAATCGACGAAAGAATACCATAAATCGACAGTTCGAAGTGGCGGACAATTCGAAAATGACCTGTCGGCTCTAGCTATAGTTAAATCAAATGGTGAACACCGGTCAGTAAGACGAAGTTAGACAAAGAACCGCTTGGAAGGACCCCAACAGGATCTCGTATCTTCTGTAATGAGGATCACTGGGATGATAAATGTCGAGATTATTCAACCTTGAAACAACAGCTAGAGCGTTTGAGTGAAATTACCACCTGCCTAAGACGCATGGAATTGGGCCATACCACAAGCGACTGTAGAATGAAAATGACACGATGCTTCCACTGCAAGGCTCATACAAATCAGCATTATGTAACAGACATGATATGAACACTACTCAGACGAACAAAATAAGTAAGGAAAAGGTGGGACCAATGTATACAACTAATTCAGTGACTGGTCAAAGGGATCCACAAAGAAGAAGGATTTTACTATTGTGTAAAGAAGTTAGCGTAGTCTATCCCGAAGCTCTGGAGATAGAAACACAAGAGTAGTAATTCGCCGGTAATTTGTCGCCGAACGAAGCAATGTTTATTCCTTCCTCCGTAATTCCTTGCAAACTTAATCGATCCGCTTAACCCTTTGAAATGGATGACAACTGTGCACCTTAATCAAATATTACTGGTACTTGTGTTTCATAAAGGCGAAGATTGGCATAAATATATTGGGGAAAGAGATCATCACTTGCGAAGTGCATATTAAGGATTATCTAACAAATAAATTGCAAGTGGTGCAAATAAGTGAGAAAAATATATCATCATTGACGAAGTATGGTCAATTAGATGGCTTAAAAAATTATTGGAAACAACCTGATATACTTATCGGCACGGATTATATGGACAAATTCATCGAATGGAGCAAAACGCAAAAGTTGAAATCAGGATTTTTTCTGTTCCAGGCAAAAGTGGGACCGATACTGAACGGAACTGGATATATAAATAATACGAATGCAATATCAGTCGAGACTGCCGTACGGGACTGAAGTAAATAAAGACCATGATACTGATTGTTTTTGGAAGTTGGAGCTCATGGACATTCAGGATCAACCCGACGAAACTGACGACGGGCGAGCTCTGAAACAATTCGAAAAGAGTATTACCAAACAGAAAGGAAGATGTCACATCAGATGGCCACGGAAAGAATCAAAGGATAAATTAAGGTCATTATGGACTATGCGTAGGGCGCCTCATGACATAGTATGATAAATCTATTAGAGGAATAAAATGATAAATCTATTAGAGATCAACTTAAATCAGAAATCATCGAAGTTCATCCCGAAATAGATCAGGAAAGCGTCATTCACTTATTTGCCACATCATGAGCTTATAACCCCAAACAAAACGACGAAATTGAGAATTGTTCATGATGCTTCGGCACACCTTAAAGGTACGAAAAGCCTAAACGATGTTCTGTATCGTGGACCTGTAATGCTCCCTAATTTGGTCGGAATACTCCCCCTTCGAATAATGAGAAACGTCATTATAGCAGACATAAGGAAGGCATTTTTACAACTAGAATTGACAGGAACTGTACCGGATTTCTCTGGGTAAAGGGTATTGAAAAGCCTGTCACTGAAGAAAATGTGAAATACTATCGCTTCAGAAAAGTTCGCTTTGGAATATCGCATTATCCTTCCTGCTTTCTGCAACATTGAACCATTTAGAAACCAATAGCAGCAAGATCTGGAGATCAGG